GGGTCATCGTTACAGTCACAAAGGCAATTGGGCAAGATACTTTAGTAACCACCCTAGGGTTTTAAGATCATACTGAGGCAACATCGAGAGGGTCATTTTTGTGATCTTTAAACCGGATGGTAGCCACTAAAATCTCTCACGTTTCGAGAGTTGTGACCGTTTTAATCCGAAGGCAACCGAAGTTGGAATACCCTAAAGGTGCACATGTGCAAGTGCATTGTGTTTCAGTTATTTATCTTTGTATTAGGTTTGCTAACGTTTTTGTTTTAAATTTCTTACCATGCAATCCTATTACCATACATCTGTACAAGAATTTAAAGTGCAGAATTTTAAATCTAGCTATTACATGGCTTCGGGGAGGGGGAATTTACAAGTCCAAAACGGGATAAAAAAATAGTAAATGTCCTAGTTCTTAACTATTACAAACTGGGAAGCAGGTACAATAATAAGAAAAGGTAATAATAATGCGAAAATATTTAAACACGTGCGAATTAGAAAGGGCGTCTAAAACCCTAAAAAAGTTCTAAGTAAAAGAAATTTCCTTTTGTTGTTTTGGGAAATATTAAATTAAATTAAAACCTAAGTTCAATTAATTAAAAAATAAAAAGGGAAAAAAATTATTAATTAATTCTAAACAAAACTAATATTTTGGCATTTTTGTGATTTGATTTTAAAAACCTAAATCTAGATTAATTAATTATAAAATAAACAATAAGCATGATTAAATTAAATCAAATTTAATTGTCAAAAATTAATTTAATTAATCTAAACCTAAAACCTAATTTTTATATTGTTTTCTGATTTTATGATTAAATAAAAACGGTTTATTTTGAAAAAAAGTATAAAAATACTAAATAAGTAAGATAAACTAATAAAAAAGAACTGGGCCTGGTGTTAACTAGTAAACAGGGGGTGTGAGATTTGAATTTTATTAAGCCCAAATTAGGGAGAAGCCCAGGCTGCGCTTAATTCAATGTTGATGGCCCTTGAGGGTTCATCATGTAGAAGCGCGCTTGAGGTGTTGGATCTCCATCCGTTGGCATTTGATGGCCCAGATGTGGAGGCGCATGATATACGCCTGGATCTGCCCTACACTGGATCTGAAAAGAAAATATGAAAATATGCAAACCTGGGGTTCAAACTCAGGTTCTTCACACTTGCAAACACACGCTTCACCAACCAGCCAACACGTTCATTTGTTTATACAACTGAACCAATAATATTATATGTGAAAACCAATCAGAAAAATATTTAAATTAAAACACGCACACTGAGTGGGTCCCCTTGTATTCAAATAGACTAATCATAACAAGCTATTTTTCCACGCCAGCTCCGAGGAGGTCAAACCACCTTCCACAATGGTTGACCACCGTCTTCTCCGGTATGCTCAAAAATGAAACCAACAAAATAAGGAGATTCGAAGCATGAAAATTTGTCTACCCCCCCTCCCCCCTAAAACCTAGGTTGCAAGTTCAATTGTGGCCTTAGTTTGGTCTAAAAATGCCTTTATCTCTGAAATCGAAGCTCACACGTTTTTAAACCCTTACAATTGCAAACTGTGATTTTGGCACTGAAACTCACATGAAGCACGTTAAAAAAATTCACAATGATCAATAATAATATGAATACGCAAAGAAAATCAGTTTAAATCACGTATCTGAGAGGTTTCGAATCAGAATCTTACCAAGGTCCAATGACGCGTGGATCTGTGATTTTAGGATGTTTCATGCCTTAGGAATTGTTGGAGTAGTTTCCTGGGTATCTCGAGAATACGACTATGGTATTAGTTTGGATCGAAGGAAGCTGCAATGTCAGTTTTGAATTTGACAACTTTGTGGAAATTTTCAATTTTGGTGTGCTTTTCTGAGGCTGTGTGTGTGTGTCTTGGGCTTGTAAAAGTGTTGTTTATATAGAGGAGTGAGGGAAGGTGACTGGGAAGGGAAGGAAATCAAGCATTAAGACCATGTTTTAAAGTTATGATTACAATTTGAAAATATGCCATATTTTCAAATAAATATGCCATTTCCATCCTTGAGTGAACCTGGAAACTTTGCATGAGTTCTTGGGCCCAAGACCAACCCAATACATCAGCCCATTATGCCATGATCCATTTTTAAACATTTTATGCAATTTATTTTGTATTTATTTGAATAAAACAAAATAAAAATGAATAAAATAGGTAAAAATGGCAAGGCAAGGTAAGAAAGAATTTAGAGGTCCTTAGACATTCCATGAACATGTTTAGGCCCTAAAAGTTAGGCCCACTAACTTGAAAAAATGAATTTTCCCAAAGTTGACTTCATGTATTTTCTTGAAAATTTCTCAACTTGTGCAAGCCATAACTTGCTCAGTTTTTATCCAATGAAGATGATCTTGGACTTTTTGGAAAGCCTAAGATGTCTTCTTAAATCTCTATTTTTATCAATTTTACATTTGAAGACTTTATATTGATGTAGGTGGTCTTAGAAAAAAGTGTCTTTTGTTGACTTTCTGAAAATGACCTGTAATGTATGAGCTTGTATCTTCCAAATGATGCATTTCGTGAACTCGAGGGTAAAAGATAAGTTGTAGGGAATTGAATTTTCTTCACAGTGAGATTTGGTTTGGACAAAATTGATGAAGTATGTGAAAGTTATGCTTGGTCAAAATTCAGTTGACTTTCTCTAGGAAACCCTAATTTTGCACTTTTGGATTCTTGATGATTTGAGAGCATTCCTTGGGGAATCATGATCAACCCTTGATAAAATGATGGATATCACTTCAAAATGTTGATGTTAACCAAAAATCTTGAATTTTGACTATATATTGGTCACAATTGACTTTTGACGTAGTACAGTTGGTTTCCAAGCATTTGAGTAATTGACTGAGCAAGCTTGTAGTGCAAGGCATGAAACTTGGCATGGACATTCTTGAGGACATATTGGGGACCATGGAAATTACTTGAGGCCTTTGCAACCCAAAATTATTTGTGAGGAGTGAAATGATAGATATGTTAGCACAATATTTGGCATAATGTTTACAAACCTACAAGGTCTAAGTTCAAACCCTAGGACTTGCATTTTTGTTTTTATCATCTTTTTTTAAATTATATTTTAATTAATTTTTCACCAAATGTCAAAACTAAGTTTTTAATTTATACAAAATGAGTGAAATAAATTTTATTATTTAGGTATAATTAGTCACCAAGTCCCCTAACTTAATTTTGTGTTTCGCTTTAGTCCCTTAACAAAAAATGTAAGACTTTGGTCCCTTAAATTACTTCTATTAGCAACATTGGTCCCTTCTGTTAGTTTTTTTTGGAAAAAATGTTAACGGGTGCCAACGTGGCATTACTGACTCAGCAAAAAGAATTTTAAAGGGATGATATGTTTTCACCTGTCTTCCCCACATGCGTTTCCAGAAGTTGTTTCATCTTACACTTTTGTTCCATCACGTATTCAAGCTACCTCTAGGGTTCCATCACCTTTATTCTTACACTCTTGCAATCATCTATATGTTATTTTGTTCATAGGATATTCATCTTTTCCACTGTCAAAATTTTCAAACAGTACTTCAATGTCCAACACTTATTCCATTGGAAGCGATGAATTTGTGCTTCGTAGAAACCAGAGGAGGGGATGTTTTTGCCAAGATGATTATGTCCTTTGTACGATGAGTGAAATGAATAGTGTGAACTTTGGGGAAAAAATTCTTGGGTTGTAGAAACTACATAAATCATATGGATAAGAGTTATAATTTCTTCAAGTGGTTTGATGATGAAGTTGTTGGTGAAAGAGATTTGAAGATTCATAGGCAAAAGAAGAAAATTTTCAAATTGAAGAACGAGATTCTCCACATCAGAGGATGGTTGAAAATGTCCATTATTGTTGGGATTTTGAGCTTAGGGTTGAATATTGTTTTTGTAACTATGTATTTCAAATAAAATTAGGGTTGAAATTTGTATTTGTCACGAGCTTATCTATGTAACACTTTTGATGGTTTAATGCATAATGTTATGATAAATAATGTGTGTTCATTATACTCTGTTATGACACTGACACAAAACACTGGCATCAAAGTGTTGAAAAAAAACCACATATGTAACATACTGATATAGGGAACTAAGTGTAACAATGCAATGCAGTTAATAGACTAATGTGTAAAAATTTATAAAGTTATGGGGCCAATGTTTATCATATAAGAACAAAACAAAATATAATAGTCATTATCTGAACATTGGCATATCATAACATTTCCATTACTCAATGTAATTCATATAAGGACAAGCTAATTCTAAATGGCATTATATTATTATTCCAATAATAATCCTAAAACGGCATTACATAATTTAAGTCACCATGGCATTATAAGTCATATAAATCACAAAAGAAGTAATTTAGAAGCCAACATGGCATTACATATAAAAGTCAACATGGCATTATAAGCAATATATTACACAAAATAAGTCATGCAGAAGCCAACATGACATTACATGATTTAAGTCAACATTATTATACTCTTGAGGTAAGTCATCATTATCATATTCCTCAATCTCACCCAATCCTTTAAAACTTTCATTTGGAACCTCACCAACATTATTATCATCAAGTGAACCACTACCTTCAGTTGATTCTTCCACTACCTTTTGTTTCCTTGGTCTCCCAACCTTTGCATTGCCCTTCCCTTTAATTTTTCCTTTTGCTTTTTCCCTTTCCTTTACCTTTTCCTTTTCCTTTTCCCTTTCCCTTCATTTTAACTTTTCCTTTGACCTTGTCATTTCCCTTTAATGCATATATTGCATTACCAACCTCATTATTAACTGAAATCTCTTCACCAATTCCTACATCACCATCATCTTAATCATCAAAGTGCATAATGAAATAACCGTGTTTTTGTCTTCACTATCATCTGCACCTTTTTTTCAGTCCGTCACCTTTTTTATTATTACAGATTAGTCCCTCAACTTTTGCATTTTCTTCAACACGTACCAGATAAGGTGTACTATCAAATACTTTAGCTTCTTAAACACTTACAATATAATAAGTGGTCCCCACAGTAGTAATATCTACTATTGCATCCTTAACCTCCGTGGTCCCATCCAAAATAACATCCTCACTTGAATATTTTTTGTCAATGTCCTCAGTGGTCCCCTCCAAATTAACACCCTCACATGCATCTTCTTGGTCAACTGCATCTTTAACACCAATGGTCCCTCCTTCATCAAACTTGTCATTAAGAATATTCAATTCATCAAAAGTTCCCAAATCTTCAAAAGTAACTTTTACAGCATTATTAAAATCATTCAAATTCTCCTTTCTTTACTATTCAAATCCTTCAAACTACCCTTTTCTCTTAACTCACTTTCAACATGCTTTTCAGTGGGTTCAAAATTGGTTTATAGAGAGAGTATTGGTTCTTCTATATAACCAGGTTATAATATTGGATGAATGACATATAAATGCACAACCTGATTAATGTGTGTTATGGTTTTCATTTTATTTGTTCTTCCATCATCTTCTAACAAAATTGACTCATTAATAGCCATTGCATCATAATACCACAAACTCTCCACTTTTGGGTACCCTAAATATATCAAACCACTAAGAACCTCAAAATAACTCCAGTAATCAGGATCTACATCCCAAACCTCCTCTAACCCCTGGTAACCTAATTTCTTAAACTCAACAAACACACTCCCATGATGGACCACACACTAAAACTTATCAGACATGACCTAAACAAACGTAATAACATGGAAATCAGCTGTTGAATAGAGTGAAGATGAAAAAGGTTTGCTTTTGAAAGAATGTTAAATAGATAAGAGTTTGGAAATGAGTTCGTCTTCTTCATCGTTCCAAGTATCACAACTTGAAAATGAAGAGTTTGGAAATGAAGAGTTGCTAGGATTCGTTCCAATAAGAGTGAGCTTGGGTTGGAATGTGAAGACTTGAAAATGGTATTTTTTAAGTTGGATTTGTTTTTGATAATTAAATTAAGGGTTAAATAAGTTTTTGGTCACTCTAAATATCTCAAAATTTGTTTTTAGTCCCTCTAAAATTTTCCTTTAAAGAATGATCCTCCTAAAAAATTAAATTTTAACTTTTGGTCTCTTCTCCAATTTAGCGACAATTCTTACAACTTAACGACAGTTTTAACGATGATTTTAGCGACGATTTTTATTTAGTGACGAAGTTAAAGACCATTTTAGCTACAATTTTGTCAGGAGAGACTAAAAGTTAAAATTCAATTATTTAGGAGGACCATTATTTAAAGTAAAAATTTAGAGGGACTAAAAACAAAATTTGAGATATTTAGAGGAATCAAAAACTTACTTAATCTTTAAATTAAATTAATGAAATTGTAAAAAGCAAGTAATGAATTCATGTCAAATTTTACAAATGATTAAAAATGCCACGTATAAGTTTTTTAACGTTTTTCCAAAAGAATTTAACTGAAGGAATTTAATATGGTAACAAAATAGCTTTAAGGAACTACATTGACATATTTTTATTTAAGGGATTAAAGAGAAACAATAAATTAAGTTAAGGGTTTTAAAAAATGAATTAACCCTATTATTTATTAAAAATATTTATGAAAAGTAATATATGACTTAAATTAAAATATTATATTTTTATAAATATATACTAAATTCTATTCAGAGTCCTAAATTTGAGGGTTAAATATGTTTTTAGTCCTCATAAATATTGTTAAATTCATTTTTAGTCTCTCTAAATATTTCTTTTAAAAAATGGTCTTTCAAAAAATTTCCATCCATACAATTCGTCCATAATGTTAAATGGGATTAACAGACGGTGACGTGGCAATACACGTGTATACTTAAATTCATTTTTTATTTTATTTTTATTAAAATATTGGCTCAATTATTTAAGTTATTTTATGTGAAGTTAATATCTCAGATTGATACATTTTCCCTCAAGCAACAAAGAAACCCTGGATTTCTAAATATCTCCAAATCTTCAATTGTCTAAAACCCTCAAATATGCAAAATTCATCATCGTTGTTTGAAGTTGAATTGAAGACGTTTACAAATCCTTGACCAATCATCCAATATTTTTATTTCCAAAGCTTATGCAACCTTGATAATTGATTCCAATCTTTTTCTTCTTTGATCTTTTTTCATTGATAAGCTTTTGTCTTCATCAAAATTAAGGTAAGATAAATGATAAATATCTTCTTCATAGTTGCTAGTTGCGCACTCTTTGACATTTTGGCCTTCTTTTTTTCAACATTTCTCTCATCACTCTTTATGTATCTTTCTGCATATTTTACTACCTTAGCCAAAGAGGTTGCGGGCCTCTAGGCAAAGATGCATTAAATTGCCTTGTCCTCAACCTATTCTAAAATGCTCCTACAAATATTTGTCGGTTTGGGTGGACGACCTTGATCGTCGCCTCATTGAAATGGGAGAAATACTCCCTTAAATATTCAGAAGGGCCTTGACGAATATTGAAAAGGTTGGTGGCGACCATCTTTTTGTGCCTGCTTGTTGCAAACTGATGGACTAGTTTCTTCACAAAGTCCTAATAATTGGTGACCGAGAGCCAAGACAAGGCCAAGTACCTTAAGGCTGCGTGTCTGAAGGTTCATGATAGAATTTTTCACTTCAAGGAATCAGAAGCTCCAATGATTGCCATTTGCGTGTTGATAGAGGCAACATGCTCATACAGGTCGTTGCACCCATCAAACTTAGCTAACAATGACAACTTAAAATTCTTCAGCACCACTATTATCCATATTTCATCTGAAAGATGTTAAAGTTCAAATATTTCAACCTCCTCTGTAGGGCCAACCTCCTGCTGGCGTTGTTAGATATGAATGACGTTATCCTCCAAAGTTTGATTATGGCAGAGTAAATCGTCCTTGGCAACACACATCTCTGCCACAACGTTCTCCTCATCGTCAGACTCATCGTTGGTTGGAGTTGTTTCCTTCTTATTTAACATGAAGAATGAAGTGGTTGAACATGATGACAATAATCTAGTCAAATATTGTAATAGTGGCCTAGATCAATTTTACTGTACCCTAAAGTGGACGCCAATTTAACCTACTAAAAGTACAATACGTGATAAACCGTTGTGGTGTAGAATTGTAAGAGGATTTTATGGTTTTTTGAAATGTTAGAGCAAACTTTCACACTGGTACGTGAGAAGTTATATATGTAGTGTTGATGTGATGAATTTGATTCCCTCTCAACGTCAAGGTTGAGGTATTTATAAGAATATAGTGGACTTGGGTCTCAGATTGCAAGAAGGAAGATTCCCCCACTTCCCATTCTTAGGAGCGTGGGAAGAGGGTGATTATCTCCCCCGTTTCTTTGGGGAGTATGACCAACTCGTTTTCACTCCCTCTCATATACTGTAGCAAATTGAGACACATCATCTCCATGTTTTCACGGAAAGACGATTAATCTTTGAAATGAACGTCACATCCAAATTATAAACGCTCAATATAATAAATAGGCAAACAAAAAGCTGGTGTGAACGACATGTTATGTAGTTCCCTTTCTACATCGCATCTTGCCAGGTCCTTTACAAATATACTGATACGATTTTAAATTATATAATATAAACAAATGAAATGAAATTAACAAGTTGAATCGAGTTTTTCATAAATATAAACTAATAGAGTTCAAACTAAAAAACTATCAAACTCTAATCGAGTTTTTAGATGAACTAATTTTTATTAGACTTAATGCATCATTTGATCCCTTAATTTATTTTAAGATTTCAATTTAGTCCCTTAGGTAATAAACGTTTATTCTTAGTTAATAAATGTTATTAACTAAACCAATATATTAGTTTAATATAAGTTCAAAATATCAATTTTAATAGTTAATTATTTAAATATATCCATAAAATAAATATTATACAATACATTTTTATTGTATAAACTTACTCAACAACAATCTTTTAATTATTATTATTATCACTTTGTGACAAGATTGGTAATACTTTACAATTAAAGAAAATATTATCATAAGCAATCATGATTAATCTATCTAGTTAAATCCATACAAATTTGTATTTAAATTATCAAATAACAACTTCTAAAATTTTGGGTAATCCATTTATAACTGCTCTTGTCTTCCTTCAGAATTCTTCCATATTTTTTCTATGTAAGAACAACCATTTCATCTACACACTTTTGAAATATGTTTAATCAATATATATAAAAGGCACATTAGTCTCATCATTGTATTGAAAAAAATACCTAAATATAATATATTTTATATATAAAAAAGAATAATTAAATATAAGATTAAATTGTAAGATAACTAACCCGACAAAACCTCTTTATCATGTAATGTAGCTTGTTCAAATTAATTCATTTCATTTAGTTATGTTCAAATTATAACACTAACTTTAACCGTAGTGTTTTACGTAATATCAGTGAAATTATTGAAAAATATATGATTTGAATTCGTTATGATTTTTTCTAATCTAAAACAAAGAAAGAATATAAATTAACTTTTATGAATAGGACAATATAAAGAAGAACAAAAGTTGAATAAAAATATATAAAAAAAACTAAAAAAAAAATAGATTTCATTATATAAGAGAAAAATATAAGCCGAATAAGAAGATATAAAAGAAGAGCATGAAAGTTCTTACTTGAGCAATATTGTGCAAATTTGTAAGGACATATGGATTTATGAAAATTTGTAGAGAAATATGAATTTCTGAAATATATATAGTAAAAGTGGTGAGGAAATAAAATGCTAAACATTAATGGTGATTATAAAGGTCGAGAATATTAATTAATATTCTAAAAATTTTCATTTTTCTATTTTTTAATTCAATCATGAAGTAAAAGGAATTAAAGGGTTTGATAGTTATTTTCTTGTGGAAAGATTATTCAATTTTAACCGATTGATGATAAGTAAACCAGTGATTAAAATACCTTTAATCTAAATTAATTCTTTGTTTCAATGCAATCAAATATAATTATTTAATTATTTCAATGTCTTAATTCTTTGGTATTCCTACGTTATTATTTGCATCAATTAAATATTTATGTTGATAATTATTTAAAAAACAGTTAAATATAAAATAATTAAAAGAGAATTATTTTTTAACATTGTAGAGGAATTTTTTATATGGTATATTTTTATTTTTTTAACCTATTATTAGTTTAATATATAAAAGTATTTTTAAGTAATTTATGAAGTAATTGTGGAATTCAATACATGAAATTGATTAAGTATTTGTGTAAATAATTATTTAACAAATAATTAAACATAAAATAATTAAAAAAGAATTGTGTTTTACCATTGTAGGAAGATTTTTTTAAAGTGTATATTTTTTTAATTCATTTTAATTATAAATTCTTGTGTTAAAATATATTATTTT